CAACTGGGGTGGCTCGCTCTCTTGCGAAAGTTAGCCGCGATCTTAGCTGTGCAACGGTCATGGCATCGCAATGACGACATGAACCGCCCGCGAGCACCGCATTAACATGCTGGACCCCCAAACATGCAATGCAGTGATCGTGTCCATCATCCGGAGACAGGAAACCCCCGCATCCAGAAACGCACAGTCGGAGCGCCATCCTGAAAAGGACGTGCTGCACGACTGTGTTGCTCTTTTAGGAAAGTTGCAACTATACGCACCGCTCTGGAGGACCGGACCCAAAGAACCGCAGGCAAGGGAGTAACCCAGCTCGACCGTCTGCCACCGCGAAGACCCACTCTGGACCGGGAGACACACTCGTTCGCTCTGAAGTGCTGATCAGCAAGAGGAACCCTCATCGACTCACTCAGAAAGGATCTGAAGCGAAAAGGATGGCGTCTGCTGGCTTCGGGTGTGCTTATATGCTGAGATAATTGCAGATGTCGCACACCTGCGCAAGCTTACGCTGCCAATTAATTTCATTCATTGGCCCGTTCAATACTCTCCAGATAAGCGGCTTCTGATCCGAATCCTCCCATTCATGGCACTGAAGTTCCCCAACCGAAGGGGAACCTGTGTTTTTGCTTCCATAGTGACAAAATTGGAACATATATTTATTTAATTATTGCATAAGACCAGTGATTGTTTAATTTGAAAAATAAAACAAAAAGATTTCTGGCACACCAACAAATCCAGTAAAGCAGCAAACGGTAACAATGAATTCAATAAAAAACACCAAGCATATAACAACTCATTCTCAACTTCACCCAATAGCAATAAAACAATATTATTTTCAGTTTTACATAACCTGGTGAGTGCTTTTATCCAAATCTACAACTGCTGCTGGCATCTTTTTGCTACTAATGGTATTTTAATGAAGAACACTTACATCATAGCCACTGTTACGGATCCCCTTTCTGGGTCTTTCTCTCATGACCAGAAGATCCATCTCTGTTCCTCCTGGACTGGGACTGTTTAGAGACTGTCTGCTACGATGTGTGGGGTGACTCACCTGAGAAGGTCTGAAACAATTACAAATAGAGGGGAAAATTTACATTTAAAACACAGTAACCTCAAATGCAACAAATACAGCTGAAATCAGATTAATATCCCCCGTTTGAATTTTTTCTCTTTTTTAAATATTTCCCAAATGATGTTTAACAGAGCAAGGAAATTTTCACAGTATGTCTGATAATATTTTTATTTTCTGGAGAAAGCCGTATTTGTTTTATTTCACCTAGAATAAAAGCAGATTTTTATTTTTTAAACACCATTTTAAGGACAAAATTATTAGCTCCTTTTAAGCTAATTTGTTTATCGATAGTCTACAAAACAAACCATCATTACACAATAACTTGCTTAGTTACCCTAACCTGCCTAGTTAACCTAATTAACTTAGTTACGCCTTTAAATGACACTTTAAGCTGTATAAAAGTGTCTTGAAAAATATGTAGTAAAATATTATTTACTGTCATAATGTCAAAGGTAAAATAAATCAGTTTTTAGAAATGAGTTAAGGGGAAAAAATAAACAGTATGGCTAATAATTCAAGGGGGCTAATAATTCTGACTTCAACTGTACATCTGCATGTGTACAATGACAACTGTCAAATTAAATGTCAAATTACTCTTATTTATTTAACCTTATCCTTATGTAACCTTCATAAACTGCAAAAACATCATGTGAAAGTGAAAACATTGTGACAGAAATAATAACAGAATCAATACAATGCTGCTGTTTAATGTGATTTTATTTCTCATTTAGAACATTTAGCTTCACATTTCATTATATCAGCTCAAACTGTCAACAAAATATGCAGTTCTGGTATGATGGATTACATGCGGTACACTATGAAAGGCAAATTTTCGGAAATACCTACTCGTCTAAAAGAGGGACTTTTACGATTTTCACAGGAAGAAAAAACTCTGCTCTGAGAAAAAATCATCTGGGAGCTGATAAGAAATACTTTAATAAGCACAAAGATTGATTCGCTGTGTAGGCAACTTCATCAGATTTCATCATTCTACGAGTCCCACGTCAGAGCTATTTGACGGTCAGACAGCAGATCACAGTAAGAGAGAGGTTAGCACTTCCATAGAGGAAATCGCCCAAAATAACACACTTAACTTTTAGAAATCACTGAAGATGTAAAAGTTACAATAAGTGTCATCAGCAATTTTTAAAAGTGCATAAAGAATGTTAGAGGGCCATTAGAGATGTTATGAAACAGCCTTAAACCAGGAGTGCTCAAATTAGACAATTCCTTTCAAAGAAGTTTAATTTAAACCAAAAAATAAATAAATAAATAAATAAATAAATAAATAAATAAATAAATAAATAAAATTTAGATATGATCTTTCCCAGTGAGGGTTTGCAGCTGGAAGAGCATTCATTGCGTAAAACATATGGTGGATATGTTGGTGGTTCATTTCACTGTGGCGACCCCAGATTAATAAATGGACTAAAAAAAAGAAAACAAATAAATGAATAATATTATATGATAATCTAACACCCCAACAAAGATGCACTGAGTAGATTTTAGATTATCTATAATATAGGGTACAGACATTTATTTCAGTAGTTTGTCACTGTCTTATCATGTGTTGCTGTTCTTCTTTGCTCATTTGCCATTTTGTTTTATTTATTTTCTTTCTGTGATTACCCATAGCCTTGTATTTAAAAATGCTATATAGATTGATCAAGATCAACATTTATTGCTCTAAAGAATGTGAGCTTGCATCCAGACTTTGAGAAAAGGGCCATATATAGAAAGACTGAAAGACAGCATTTTTTTTATATTAATTCATATGGTGCACTCACACTAGGCTACCTGAACTGTACCCGGGCACGTTTAACCCCCATTTCCTGGTTTATTTGACAAGTGTGAGTGCTCTGAATTGGGTCCAGGAGAGGTAAATTTGGCCGGCCCTGGACCAGTTGTAAGAGATGTGCCAGAGTGTGGTTAATTTGGGCTCTGACGCAGAACATTTGTAGTATGAGTGCAAAGCACACCTGAACACGAAACTGAAGACGTGACGCCACTTTTAAAGGACTGTTTCGTATGGGTTTTTAATCATACCTTTTAATAAATGCAAAGTGTCATACTTAATTAACTTAAAGATTAAAAAAAAAAAAAAAACGCTACATGTCAGCTGCCATCTTCAGCAAACCTCCTAATTCATAAAGGTGTGATGATTTTTGAGGTGGTTAAACTGACTAGTGTTGGCTCATTCATCCTTCATTTTTCATCCATGCTTCATTTTGGTTTTATTCATTTATTTTCACATTTCCTTTACCCTTTTGAATGCATTCATAATTGTTTGTATTTGTTGGTTTAGTCATTGTTTGTCGCTTTAAAAAAAAAAAAAAAAAATATATATATATATATATATATATATATATAT